AGTAATTTAAAAATAAATTTCCTAGTGTAGGGATCTGGCATTTGAGAATATGTTACCATCTTTCTGATCTGCTTAAGCTTCAATCAGGTTTAAGTGTAGGCAGCTCACTAAACTGCAGCGGCACGCACGCCTGGCTTGGACACATGAGAATTGTAGCTGGGGCTTAGTCCAGCCAGTCATAATCCTGGTGACTAAATTTAAACAGCAAACCTGGGGAGTTACTTCATCTGCAAGCTGCCAGTCATTAGTTTCATTATAAATTTCCTTGCAGTTAAAAATAATACTTTGAAATGTTTAAATTCAACATTTAGTCTATCTTTAAAATTAAATTCTACATTAAAATTATATTTAACAGTTATTAGCATTGGTATTAAAAGAAAACAAAAATTATTACTCCATAAATTCACAAAACAAACCTATTTTTTTTAATTGCCTACATAACATACTGCAAGTGTTAGGCTGAAATACAGAATTCATTGGGCTGGAGAGATTTTGTGGCATGAACTAAGGTTATCTAAAGTACAAATTTGGCAGAGGGTGCCTCAATATGAGCTGAAACAGCTAATCATGGTTTGGGGATGCACACAGGACACACTGAACCAGAGAAGACCTTCTCTTGCTTTCCACAGTGGGAATTAAATCATTCCAGACCATAACCAAGCTGTCAGAAGCAGTCCATGCTGTGAGGAGATGCGTGGCACTGACAGGGAACACAAATCTCTGGTGGCACTCAGGAAAATGTGAAAAAGGGCATTCAGATATTAAATTCAGGGTCAAACGCTGCGCTCAGCTACCGCAAGTATATGCTGGAAAGTACAGCCCATGTGTTTTATATCCTAATTTCCAGTTSTGTTCAAAGCTGGAAGAGTTCCTAGACCAATTTAAGCAGCTGATGGAGCTCTAAATTTTAGAACCTCCCCAGGTTTGCTGTCAGCCTTTATTTGCAGCACTGGGCTCCCCTCTGTCTTTGTGCTTTGTAAGGACAGGGTGCAGCCAGCACCCTTGGGGTCACCAACCTTGGACAAGGACTACCAGGGCTTGCTGAAGGGTTCATCGGAGCTGGCAGCTGATATTTTCAAGTGGCATTCAAAAATGGATTGAAAATTAGGCCATTTCTGAAGCACAATATAACTGGTTATAGGCAGGCAATTTTGCCCTTGCCCTCCCAGTAATTGCATTTGATGATTTTATGTCTGTATTTTCCAGGTTTCTCAATAATAGGGRATATTTACTGATGTTAGCGCTCTCAGAGCTGATTTTGATGGGTACTGCCTTGCCTGGAGTCTAGCTGGTGTTTTCCTGCTAAAACCAATTTCCATCCTGCAGCTTGACCATGACAGAACATTCCTGTTTCTCTTCTCCTGCCTCCATAAAGACCCAATTTTTCCAAACATCCTTCAATTCCTCACCAGKTTTTCTGTCAGCCGTCATCCATTGGTGCTTCTTGATCTACTCTTCTCTTGGACAGCCTCATCTTTTTTGGTGTCTTTGACCTGGCTCTGGCTCAGGTTGCTCTTCAGTCACAACTTAGTGAACCACCCTCCCCTTTTACTTGCCAGCTGTAGAATAAGCGTTTTTTCAGAAGACGTGTATTAAATAAATTCTTATGCATTATTTTTTGATGTTGAATCATCCTGGTATTCCATACTTTTCTCTAGTTTGCCATCCAGTCTCTGAAGTCGTGGTGCTGTAGCCCTTTGCTGGCTATGCCTTACAAAGTTGACCCCCTAAGTTGAATTAATCTTGTCTAATCTTCACAGAAAGCATTATCTTCAGGAGTAAGTATTCTGATTTAGAATCCTGGGCTAAATATTCAGTGCGGGAGTGTTTTCTAACTCCATTTTTGTCAGCAGCCCTGGTAATAATCCCATAGGATAAAAGGTTACTCTGCCATCAGCCCAGCTGTTWTCCTTTGCTCCCAAGCTTACTGGTAAAATGCCATTTTCACCATGAAAGACACTAAACAGATATTTAAATTATCTTATGCAGTCAAATAGTTTCAAATTCATTGTGATTATTGAGAGATACTTATGGTTAYTTAAAAACCAGAAAACAGCTTGCATTTGTTAAATGTTTGTTTCTGTGAATATCAAGTGCAAGAGAATGGACTSCATTATTCCTGTGCTTCAACAGAGAAAGGGAGAGGAAAACACAGTGACTGATACAATTGTTCAACCTGTGCTTTCAGTAATATCATTTGTGGTGAMGAGATAAGAAGTGACTTGTCTGAGGTATTCTCAGGGAGCTGATAAGTAAACGACTGGCACAAACGGAAGGAGGATTATGAGACTGGGAGGGAATAAAATTAAGACTGATAACATATGGAGTCTACCAGCTATTTGTCCTGTTCCTAAAGATTAATTTTCGCTGGTGATATTTTTAGAGTGATTTAATAGTGAACAGAAGAATGTGGCTTAAAATGCTGGCAAAGGGCAGATTTTAGCAAATGRCTGCAGGATGGAGATCACAAGAGCTGAGAACTGGAATAGCAAATTGCTACTAAATCTATTTTCTTACAAACTGAGGAGTGGTAATTGTATTTCTGGCTCAAAATATATTAAAAAAAAACAACCCAGTGAACAAGAGGACATGCTTACARTGATATGTTTGATTAGGGTTAAGCACTTTTATTTATTGTAAAATTGTGGGTTCAAGTACAAGGATTTCTCTCCATGAGAAGCTCCAAGACGGTTTGTGGTTTCTGTGTGGCAGGAGAGGCTGAACCAAGGGGTCTCTGAAAGACAATGATGTTGCTCAGAAGGGCAGATGATGACACAAAGTTTATAATACAGCCATGTGATATTGAACTGAACTCAAACAAGCTTCAGAGTGACTCATATGAACCACTTGGGTCAACTTCATTTGTCTGCATATTATTCACATGGTTTTTGTCATTCATAAGGGTCAAAATGTATCATATTTGTTATGCTTTGTCCTCTTTGTGCATCTGGGAGCAATGGAGGGTAGGTGTTCTTTGCTTCCAGTGACAGGCATTCCTGGATTCCCCAGCAGCTTGGGCAGCCCTTGTGTTCATGACAGCAACCAAATCAGTCAGAGGAGAGAAGAGTTCAGAGTGTCAGGGGATAGAAAGAGGTGTTGGAATATCGAGTTARTGGCTTGCTTGAACATTTTCATGTATGATATGGACTGAACACCCTCCTCTCTCAATTTTAACCCCCACTGCTGCAGAACGGAGCTTCTGTGCCAATATCAGTTAAATSAGAGAGCAGAACAATTAAAGGCTGATGTACTCAATTTCATGCTTTCGCTGGGCTGACACTGACAGAATCTGCCAYTTTAAGAAACTTATTGTAATCTTATTCCTCTGTTTTGTAAAGCATGTTTATATAAAACCCCACTCACAGCAGTAACTCAATCAAATGCCTTTGTGGACAGATAAATAAAGAAGAGGCAAGAGGAATATGTTAAAAGCAGTCATTAGCATGTAGCTCACATCAAATAAAAAAGTACTGCAATTAATCATAAGGACATAATTTTCTTAACCCCATTTTAGATTGCTGTTTTAAGTGCAATTTATGCCACACACCCACCCATGCCTATTTAAATCAAACATTTTGTACTGATGAGTGAATTAAATTAATATAAGAACAGAAAGGTGAGATATGAGATAGAACAAATAAAAGGCTCTTTTGCTCCTCGTTCCAGAACCACAATGTACCAGATAAAAGAGAGAGAAAAAAAAAAAAGGTAGCTTTTTAATCAAATAAAAAGACTTATGGATGTTCCAAATCAGTCTGACAAAAGGTCAAAGTAACATCATGTCTTTTCCACTAACCATTTGGTGTCACCACAGCATCTACAAAACAGCGGAGAATTTCCACAATTCTCGTGCAGACAGAAAGTGTTCTGATCACTGCTCATCTCCTGTAAATATTGTAGATAAGGAAGAAGGAATTTCATTTAAATATAAGGAGTTTTTTTTAACTGACAGACTCTTCTTGCATAAACGCGTGACAGGGTCATTGTGCCCCACAGTCACCTATAACTGGCACTGATCTATTGATGCTCTGGGTGCAGATTTAGTGTGTGTCACCTGGATTTGGCTGCCATTCCATGCTTTGACCTGATTTTGATTTCAAAGAGGAAATTATCCATGTGAGCCRTAGTAAAGTTGCAGAAGCAGCTCCTTAACATCAAAAATCCAGAAAGCACTGCTGCAAGCTGTCTCACTATGTCACTGTCCCTCTGACTGCTCCTTGTGCTTGAATTCTCTCTCAGTGAAATGTTGAAATTTTACCCCAAATCATGCACCAGCTGAACATCTGTTAATGACCAAATGTGAGTGTAAATTATTCTTACTTTTGCCGAGGGTGTAACAAACCTCTTTATAAATCAACAGGAACTATTCATAAATTAGTTCTGCCTGTAACATTTCCCCCCCCACGATGGAATATATAGGGAAATTGTTGCCAATATCAATTGTGCTGCCACCACAATATGATGCTGWAGTTCAGTTCCTCCACTCCCTTTTTTTTCCTTTTGGAAAATATATGTTATACTCCTCTATAGTGTTCTTTTCTGGCTTGYTTCATTCCATCTCAGACACATGACTATTAATATTACTGCTTTTAATATCTTGATAAATAAGTTCAAACTTAATCTAAAGTAAATTATTTGGGGTCTCAATTCAAAGTTTTACCAGAATTGATGCTGAAATTTCAAAATACTGTGCAATTACCAGAGAAAAGATTGATCTCTTAACTGGGTGTAGAGAAATCCATGCTTCCTTGAAACTTGTGTTCACAGACATACAAACATCTGYATTGTGTTGTTACAATCCCTCTGGCAAAGTTTCTCCCTGTGAGCTCTGCTAATCAAGKCTTGCCTTCTCCAAAATATGTATTCCAGCTCCTAAATCTTGTGCATTGGTGAGCTGTGAAACACAGCCAGGGTGATGCCATGGCCCTGTCTCTAGGTGTGAGAGCAAAGCTCACCAGGAAGGGTTGGCGAGCAGCGCACACCGAGGGGAGGTGTCGTCTCCTTAAGTGCTACAGAAAGCTGCAGATTCCATTTGGAAAAAGGACAGTGAAATGAGTGATGAAATAGGCAAGATGAGCATGTAATCAACAGCCATTGGCTAACAAYTTGGTGCCTCAAAGGACAAGGAAAACGTGGAAGAAAAATATTGGTAAGAGAAACTGGATAGCCACCAGAAAATTTTACTTGGAAACTCTGACTTGTAAGGGAAACAAAAGAAACTGAGAGATCAAAAAAAGTGCCGCTGGAAGCTCTTCTATCTCCTCTTTTCAAAACTTTTTTTTTTTTTTTTTTTTTTTTTTTTTTTTTTT